CCTAGAAAAGCCACTCGATCGAGCCAAAATTCACACTTTGAGAACTTGGCGTATAACTTCTCACGCCGAAGAGTCCCCAAAACGGTCCTCATGTGCTCCTCATGCTGCTCCGGGCTACTGGAATAGACCAAAATGTCATCAATGAAGACGACAACAAATCGGTCCAAAAATGGATGGAAGACACGGTTCATGAGATCCATGAATACCGCAGGCGCATTGCTCAAGCCAAACGGCATCACTACGAACTCATAGTGACCGTAGCTAGTTCTGAAAGCTTTCTTGGCCACGTCGGCCACTCTGATCTTCAACTGATGGTAACCAGAGCGGAGATCTATCATGGAAAACACGCTGGCTCTCCTCAGCTGATTGAATAAATCCTCTATTCTGGGAAGCAGATACTTGTTCTTCACCGTCAACTGGTTCAAATCCCGGTAGTCGATGCACATTCTCATCGATCTGTCCTTCTTCTTGACAAAGAGCACAGGTGCTCCCCAAGATGAAACGCTCGATCGGATGAAACCGAGACTCAACAGTTCCTGAATCTAAGCCTTCAACTCCTGAAGCTCCTTAGGCGCCATGCGATACGGTGCTTTCGACACTGGTCCCACTCTGGGGACGAAGTCGATGGTGAACTCCACCTGGCGGTTCGGTGGTCCTGCCGGAAGTTGATCGGGAAAAACGTCCACAAACTCACGAACAATGGGTATGTCTCCGGGTGACAGCTTCTCCGAAGACTCCCCAACGATGCTGACAAGAAATCCCTGACAATCCTCTCTCTGTATGTACTTCGTCGCTTTCGCCATGGAAATAACGTGTGGTAGAGTTCGAGACTTCGTCCCAAAGAATGTGATGCGGTCTCTCTCGGATAAGTGCAGCGTCACCTCCCGGTCACGACAACGGATGTCTGCGCGGTATCTCGTCCACCAATCCATGCCAAGAATCAGGTCAAAGTCAATCATATCAATCACAAACGCGTCTACGACTAGAGTTCGGCCTCCGATATTGATGCTAAGTTTCTTGGCCAGGGAACTCATAACTATCTTCCTTCCCGATGCAAGGCTGATCTCGAGAGGGTCGACAGTACTCACTCCCTGGGACCCTAAGGCTGATAAACACTTGGTCGAGATGAACGAATGCGTCGCCCCGGTATCGAATAAAGCGAAGACTGGAGTATTAAATAAGGATAGCGTGCCAGACATGGTACCTGGCTGCTCTGCGGCCTGATCCTGGTCAAGTGCATAAATATGCGCGGGTGCTCCACACTGCTGCTGCTAACCTGGGGGTCTCTGGGCTGGCTGTCTCAGTGCTGGCTGTCTCTGTGCAGGCTGTCTCTAGGCTGGCTGTCTCTGGGCTGGCTGAGGCTGTGGGCGGTCTGGGCAGTTTATGATCAGGTGTCCTGGGCGGCGGCAGTGGTAGCATACATTTTGCCCGGCTAGGCACTCCCCACGGTGCTGACGTCCGCAGGTAGCGCATGCCGGCAGATCCTGTCGGGCTGGCTGGCCCACCTGAGCTGGACCCCTCTGTCCACGGTTCCTCTTATCCTTGCGATCGCCCCACTTCCTCTTGTTCTTGCCCTGAGCTGGCTGAGCAGGCGGAATGGTGGCTGGCTATCTGATTGGCGGCTGACTCACGGCGTCCCTCTGGATGTACGCCTCAATCTGCTGAGCTCGCTCAACAGTATTCGTGTACTCAAGGTAACCATGACTGGCTACCAGCAGTCGGATGTTACTCCTCAACCCATCCAGGAACTGGGTCGCCCTCTTCTCCTCAGTGTCCACAAGGTGTGGCGCAAAGACACTCTTACGAGCGAATTCACGCTCGTACTCATCCACAGATCGATCGCCCTGCCGAAGGGCACTGAACTCCCGGGCCATCCTCTGACGTATATGGCGAGGATAGAACTTGTCCTCCAGGAGCGTCTTAAGTTGGGGCCACGACATAGCCTGTGACACCCCGCTTATCAGAGTAAATTATTCGCAACTTTTACTTCGAAAATACTTATAAATTTTTCGAAATATTTTTGCTCTTACTCGGGATGCTACTCAAACGTATCTTTTCTAAAATCCGTTTATCTTTAAACTTTGTCTAACTTACTGGTTTAGACATAAAGAAAACAGATTTATTTAAACTCGCATGTAAACTGAACCATATTCATACTAATGAAATGATTAAAGTCTGAAATATGATATTTAATAACATTCAAGTTCAAGTCTTGATATGCGTAGCGGAAATACTTAAAACGTGAATAATTATACAGACATACTAGTTCATAAATTAAATGTCCACAAGTGGACGACCATCACCACCACATCCGAGCTCACACTTCCGGCCCGACCTTGTTAACTGAAAAACACAATGGGGGTGAGTACTGGTCCTTTTGTACCCCAAAATAACCCATACTAAAGTAAACAGCAATAATAATACAATATCATAATCGTTGGTATATATCTGGACTGAAAATCTGTTCCAGTAACTGAAACTGAATCTGTAATCTGGCCGATATCTAATCGGATACGTGTGCACACTCTGATGGATATTTCTAAGGCAACTAATGGCCCCATCAGAACTTAGGATGTACTGATAAGGCAACTTGGAGCCTTTATCCCAAGCGTATAAACTGTATACATACCTCGGACATGATATCATATTATAGTCAATGTAATACCCAGGCTGGGTCCTCACCTTTCTTCTTTTGAAAACTCGTAAGTGCTGAATGATATATCTGAATCTTCAAGCTACATAAAAATATAAATCAGTATACTGAGTACTATCCTCATATACTCAATAAGATGCTTGAATACTTGATTCTTTCACTTATCCGAATTTTAATGAACACTCTAAAAATTCACTAAAATCCAAATTTAAACTATTAAGCTTAAACTCTTCTTAACTTTTACTTAAAATTGAGTACTTTCACATATAAATCATAACTCCAAATCTTGAATATTGTTTTACTCATATGAAACTTAGAATGACTCTTAAGTGAAAATAGGCTAAATTTCACATAATAGATAACCGAGTATATCAAACCAATTTCCAACTTTTACCAACTTCATATATCATTATGATTTATAAGGATTTTTAATCTATCAAACTTCTGTTAAACTTTCTTGGTATTAAAATCTCAAACTTGATGCTCATTCAAGACAATTTTTTTTTTTTTTTTTTTTTTTTTTTTTTTTTTGTTTTTTATTTTTTTATTTTTTTTTATCATAACATTAAATTATGATATTGATATACTAGACTTGAAACAATTTTATAAAATCACATACTCAACATATTGAGCTGAAACTTGGTCAAATTGCTCATCACTCATATAAGAATTTTTCCTAAAAATTTCACTTTAAAAACTCAACCATGTACTGAATACTCTTGCATATAAAATCATCTTGACATGTATGCCATATAAATATTTTAACTCGTTCATTTCTCAAGATAAAATCATGAAATTTGGCAGTCATGTACTTAACCCATATATAAGCATGTCGTAAAAGTTTCATAATTTTATCATGCATATATATCGAGTTATTAGAATTTTAAAGTCACAGCTGAAATAAAGAACATAAAATTCAACTTGCATGCTTAACTTCAAAAATCTATAACTCAAGCTATACTATGCCAAATGACATGATTCTTTTTCTTATGTACTCCTTATTTACATAAGAATTACTCATTTCATCAATACTTTACTGGTTTATTCTTATAATTATAAGAATCTCATTAAAACCGAGTACATCTATCATACAAATAATCTTAAGACAACTTTAACTTCTTGTATTTATTACTTTGATTATAAACTCACTTCTAAGTCATTAGTATATACTAATAACCATTTAATCTCATCTATAAAGTATGAAATTAGGATGAGGATATTACCTTTTTCTTGCTAGAAAATTGATTCTTTCTCCCTTCCCAATTTCTTCACTTTACAATTTTTTTTTTTCTATAACTTATTCTCTCTAATGAACTATATAACTTTTGTAATTCTTCTTTGATGAAAATCTCTGAAATCAAGGCCTCTATATATAAGAAAAATTTTTGAGACAAGAACATTGAGTGAATAAATTAACAAATTAAACAATACAAACTTGTAAAAATAAATATAGATAATAAATAGTATTCTTAACTTGTAAACTTCTCCAACCTATAGTCAATGCTTAGAAAAGCCCCTCTTCTGATACTAATCTGATATGAATGATTAAATTCGAGACTTAATGAAAATTCTCCAATTTACAGAACCGAATTCTGATTTAAAACGATCGTTTACCGTAAAATCAAAAATTCTAAAAATTTGGGATTTTCCTCTTTTGCTTTTTGCATAATGCTGAACATTTTAACTCTTAATAATGATCTCGGAACATGTTAAAAAAATTCAAGAAAATAAAATTTTCGAAAACGAAATCGGACTTAATTACCGACTACAACCGAACACCGAAAAACTCGAAACTTGCGAATATAATTTCGAATATACTCTTAATAATATGAATAGACCTTCTTGTCTAAATAATTTCTACTTACTCCTTATAACTTATCAATCAAATCATATACATCACATAAAATACTTAGGCACTAACATTTACTCGACTAACTCAATTTATCGAAAAACGATTCCAATTTTTACTTTAATCTCGAGCCAAGTGAATCCGTTCTAGTTATTAACTGAACAGTTCATTTGATTATCTTGATTACTTAAACACTTAGAAAAATTCTAAGTATTTAATACTAAGGCTCGACTATAACTTAGGAATTTCTCGGCACTGATAACTGGAACCGAGCTTAATTTACTTATAAGGCCAACTTTTGCTAAATTATACTTCCAAATTAATGGATTGATCATGACCTTGAAATGAATAATAAAATTCTAAGAGATTTATTAAGGCTTGGAAATATAAAAGATCATTATTAATAAAAGTAAAGTAGTTCTAACTTAGAACTACTTTACTCTATATTTGACTGGAAACAAACCAGTAGTGACTCATGGTTTGAAATCTTGGGCTGCCTTACTGCCTGTTTTCAAGGACCATATGAATATTAGTATTAAAAATGGGGCTGGCATAAGCTGAATGATCACAATTGGGTCCCTGGGTTGGCTGGAGGGAAACCTGAGCTCAGAATCCTTATTGATAACCATCTGTTTTGGGTTAAGGACCTTCTGATTGCAGGAGGGTGTAATTGGGATACTAATCTAGTTAAAGACATTTTTGTTGCTGAGGATGCTGAGAAAATATTGCAAATCCAAACTTTGAATCCAAGGACAGCTGATTTGTGGAATTGTTCTTTTGTGGCCAATAAGAAGTTCTCATTTAAGAAAGCTTACTCACTGTTGGTTGCTGGAGTCCAAATATCCATGATGAGGCTGAGAGTAGTACTATGGCTGAGGGAAATAGGAAAGCTAAATCAAGATGCTGGAACCTCAAAGTGATGGGTAAGGTGAAACTCTTCATTTGGAAGTGTTTCTCCAATATCCTGCCTGTCAGCACTAACCTAGTTTCCAGAGGCCTTGACATTGATCCTTTCTGTAAAGTCTGTGGGGAGGCTGTTGAATCTCTAGAGCATGTTTTGTTTCAGTGTCCTAGGGCAATTAATGTTTGGCAGATTTCTCCTGTGCAGTGGAATAGAGTTCACCAAGAACATCTTACCTTCAAACAGTGATGGTGGTGGATCAGTAGAATGCACTTCAAAGACACATCAGAAGAAAGAATCCAACTATCCACTTATATATTATGGTGGCTCTGGAAAGCGAGGAACATCTGGGTTTTGAAGGCCAGCTGCAACCGGAGAGGTGGATCATAAAGGCAGCAATGAGGGACTGGCTTGATTTTGATGGCACCAACTCATGAACTTAAATGGCAGGAACTAAAATGGAGCTAGGCTGTTTGGCAGTGGTTTTATTTTTAGTTTTTGACTTATGTTCATTAGTTGTATCTTTGGTTGTGTTTGGGTTATTTGTACTGTGAGTGTCTTATGTTTGTTGGAGTGGTTGTTTAATGTAGGTTCTTTTGGTGTTTATTTCATTTGGCTCGGCTAGGCTGCAATTGTATTTGCATGGCCTCACAGTTACCCAGGCAGACTTTGATCATTTGTACATTACCATTTTATGGTTTTATGAATAGAGTAAGCTATGTCGTTGGAAAAAAAAAAGAACTTAATTACTTTTATTAATTACTGAATGGGATATTACAATCTACCCACCTTAAACTATTTCTGTCCTCGAAAATACTGAAACTTGGATACATACTAACCTGGTATATATCAAAACTCAAAATCTGGAAAACGAGCCCTAATATCAGCTTCTCGCTCCCAAGTGGCATCTGATTCTCCGTGGCGATTCCATTTAATACGAACGAGGGGAATATCTCGATTCCTGAGCCGATGAACCTTTCGGTCCAGAACTGATACCGGTTGTTCCTCGTAAGTTAAATCTGGCTGAATCTGAATCTCAATGTGCTGAAGCACATGCTGTGGATCGCTCACGTATGCACGTAACATCGATACATGAAAAACATTATGCACACTGGACAACTCGGGAGGTAAAGCTAAACGATAGGATACTTCTCCTACTCGCTCCACAACTTCGAATGGACCTATATATCGAGGATGCAACTTTCCCTTCTTCCCAAAATGAACGACACCTCGCATCAGTCGAACTTTCAAGAACACTTTATCGGCTACCTCAAACTGCATCTCTCGTCTATGCTTATCAGCTGAAGACTTTTGCCGACTTTGAGCTGTCTTGAGCCTTTCTCGAATCCAGGCTACTTGCTCAACTGTCTCCTCTATCATCTTTGGACCAAGTACTCGTCCCTTTCCAACATCGTCCCAGTAAAGGGGCGAACGACATTTACGGCCATAAAGTGCTTCGTAGGGAGCCATCTGAATTGATGCGTGGTAACTGTTATTGTAGGCAAACTCTACTAATGGTAACCACTTCTCCCACTTGTCACCTCTATCCAAAATACAAGCTCTGAGCATATCCTCAAGTGTCTGAATCGTCCTTTCAGACTGACCATCTGTCTCTGGATGGTAAGCCGAACTAAACTTTAACTGTGTGCCTATTGCCTCATGTAAACTCTCCCAGAATCTACTGGTAAATCTGGGGTCTCTATCTGATATGATTGTAACAGACACTCCATGGAGTCGAATAATTCCACGAGTATATATCTCGGCTAACTTGTCCATCGACATGGTCATTGTCACAGGCATAAAGTGTGCGACTTTCGTCAATCTGTCCACTACTACCCAAATTGTGTCATGATGTTCTGATGATTTAGGTAGGCCTGTTACAAAATCCATAGTAACTTCTTCACCACTTCCACTTAGGAATCTCAAGTGGCTGTAACAGACCTAATGGACTCTTGTGCTCAGCTTTAACTTGCTGACAGACCAAACACTTCTTTACAAACTCTACTACATCTCTTTTCATTCCCTTCCACCAAAACGATCTTTTCAAGTCATGATACATTTTGGTGCTTCCGGGATGAGCTAGATAAGGCGCACTGTGTGCTTCTATCAAGATCTCTTTTCGTAATGCCTCGACTTTCGGCACAACAATCCTGCCTCTGAACTCTAATGCTCCATCGGTGCCTTGGTAAAAACCCTCTACTCCTTCAGCATGAACTTTTTATTTTATCTTTCGAATAAATTGATCGAAAGACTGTTCCCGCCGGATTCTATCTCTCAACATTGGCTGAACTCGAATCGAACTAACACTTCCCATAATCTCTTTAGGAAGTGACTTGAGAACTTCAATCTGCATCTGAGCGAACTCTTTAATAAGTTGATTATGTTGAGTGATACAACATGCTAACACACCCTTCACTTTACGGCTTAGGGCATCTACTACAACATTCGCTTTTCCTGGATGATACAGGATCGTGCGGTCATAATCTTTCACGACCTCCAACCATCTTCTTTGTCGCATGTTGAGCTCTTTCTATGTGAAGATATACAACAAACTCTTATGATCAGTGAATATTTCACACCGTCCTCCATCGAGATAATGTCGCCAAATCTTCAGTGCGTGCACAAATGCTGCCAACTCTAGATCATGAGTTGGATAATTCTGCTCATGTGGTTTCAGTTGTCGCGAAGCATATGCAACAACTTGACCATCATGCATAAGTACACATCCAAGACCCTGCTTTGAAGCATCACTATATATAGTGAAATGTTAGATATGTTGTAAAAGCTTGGCTTTCAGATATTAGTTATACCATTTTGATATGGCAATCATGTTTTAGTCAAAGTATATATGCTTGCAGTTTATTTATTAATGCAATCATACTCCTTGTCTTACATTGAGATAGTGTGGTTCCTGGTGTCTCGAACAGAAAGGTCACCTATCAGTTCCTTGTAAGACTAAATCATTTGTTCACAGTCTAAACTGGCAGTGAGACCCCACTCGAAAAAAGACTGTAGTGTATTCTTGATTCAGTTGACCTTGACTGGAGAATTACACTAGTACTTATGTTAAGTATTGAACAGGACCACCGGAAGGATAAGATTATGTGACTCACTGATCGTTGTTGTAATCTATACCTTCAGGGATTGATGCGTTCTCTAAAGCTATAAGATAATATAAAATAGTCGTGTATATTCATTACTTATTTATTTGATTTACCAAGGGTGATTCCTATTCTATGGGGATGACATACTCAGTACTTTGGTAAATAAGAGTGATTATATGACAAGCTGTTATAAATTATTTATGGTACCGTGTTCCAGTGCGCTGGATTGAGGACGTCCCCGAAATGAGCTCAGAAAGGAATATTTTGTTAAACCCTGCAGGTGGATATTTATCCGACACAATGATTAAAGATCTGAGTGGTACTAATTTCGGAAATGAATAAGAAGTCGATTAATTATCTTGTCAGTAATTTAATTAATCCACGGACGTTATATCTTAAATATGGGGAGGTAAATCGGTCAATCAGATTAATATTTATTAATCAAGTGGAGGTTTAATTTAATTGATTAAATTGGAGCTAAATGGGGAGAGCAATAATAATATTTTAGTGGGATATATTATTCTTTAATTTTATTAGGATTTTAGGAATTAATTTTATTCCATAATTATTATTCCAAGACATAGGGAATATTCCTTCTAGAAATTACCTAGGGTTAGGAGACTAAAGAGTCTTCTAGAAGGTGATGTTAGGAGAAGGAGTCATGACCTAATATGGATTAGCTTGTGGAGTAGAATTAGGATTCCTTGGCCTTGGGATAAGCCCATATTTGGCACCTCCTTAAGGTCCCTAATGGAGCCTATAAATACACCATGTCCCAACCTCTTGAGACACACATGTGAGACTCGTTTTTTCCATCTTTAAAAAAGAGAAATATTGTCTTGTTCAAGAGTTAGGGAGATTCAATTAATCGCACCACCAAGATTAATTGAAGTAGGTGTTTAAGTAATCCATTAGAAGGCTTTCAGGTGAGATTATATTAAACCTCAAACCTTCATATTTTCCGGTCACCTTCCTCAGCCGACTGCCGCCACCCGCCGCCGTCGACCACCGTCGTGAAACCACTCCTCGCTCAACCAGGACTCCTCGCTCGACTAGGACTCCTCGCTTAACCAGGACTCCTCGATCGACCAGGACTCCTCGCGCCCCAGGAAACGTGCCGCATACGATCGACATGACACAGTCCTGTTCGCCTAGTCCTCACAGGAATAGGAAAGCTGCAGCGCGCGACCTGCACGCACCCGCTATTCCTCGCCTGATCAGGACTCCTCGCGCATATAGGAGACGTCCCGAGCACGTACCAGCGTGAGCCCAGACGCCGCACGCCTAGTCCTTTTAGGCATAGAAAAGTTGACACGCACGCGCATCTGTTAGCAACCCGAACTGCTGCAACCCGACCCGACTTGAGACGTGATCCGTTCGTGATTCAACATTCGACTAGTGTCGACAAAGGCCAAACTCTTCAACCGATTGAGTTGTGGTAATCAGACGATCTCCATCAAAGAAAATCAGAAACGTCTCTGAGTCGGCAGAAATTTTAAA